GGCTATGACGTCTCAAGATTGACAAACAGTATTGCCACATTTCTCGTTTTTCTAGCGAAGGTTTTTTAAGGGAGTATGCGAGCACACTCGTTCAGTTCACCTAGCCGAGTTAGGCCGACACCTGTGGAAGTCTTAAGAAGGCAGTTGAAATCGGTGATTTTGGGGGTTTCTTGCATTTGGAATTATATTGAATATGCCACAATAAACAAAGTTCAAACGCCAAGACTCCTAGACCATTGAGTGCTTTTGAAGTGACAAGTTGGCGTGAAATCTGTAGCCTATCTCCGCTACGTTGTATCAGCACAATGGACAGCGCCCTACACACTAAAGCAAGGCCGTTTTGGTAATGAATATAGGCTACAATATTGATAGGGTAATTCCCCCATTACAAACAACCTATGTGAATGCAGCAGTACACACAGCTGTCTTACCAAAATAATACAAACTAAATGCTGAAAGTAGTAGCCTAGTTTTTCATGCATGCAAATAAAAATACTGAATAGCAGTTCGGCTTAGAATACCGACACAACTGTGAATGCAATCTAATGAATGCGAACAGAAAAAAACAGCGGTACCAAGTAGGTCTAGTAAACAAAATATCAGATCGGTAATCGCATGGCACAATCTATATTTAGGCTAGTATTAACGGTAAAGAAACGCAGTAAACAAAAGGTGGATGGAGATCCATAATATAGCCTACAGCCTAGTACAGTGAAATGCAGCCATGCACAGCTTTCTTGCCAAACAAATAGGCCTATAGGCCCGCTTCAGACATTGAAAATCATACCTCTCATGAGTACAGCAACAAGTTGTGATATGGCACAATACACTTGACCCACATAAGTAATTAAGCAATGCCAGCCTACCGTAAATACATTTCCAATATGTACAGTTCCATTTACAACCACAAAAACCAATAATCTACCAAGAAAACCATAATAGAATGTATTTAAACTCAGCAAAAAAAGAAACGTCCTCTCACTGTCAACTGTGTTTATTTTCAGGAAACGTAACGTGTAAATATTTTTATGAACATAACAAGATTCAACAACTGAGACATAAACTGAAAAGGTTCCACAGACATGTGATTAACAGAAATTGAATAATGTGTCCCTGAACAAAAGTAACAGTCAGTATCTGGTGTGGCCACCAGCTGCATTAAGTACTGCAGTGCAGCTCCACCTCATGGACTGCACCAGATTTGCCAGTTCTTGCTGTGAGAACCTCACTCTTCCACCAAGGCACCTGCAAGATCCTGGACATTTCTGGGGGGAATGGCCGTAGCCCTCACCCTCCGATCCAACAGGTCGCAGACGTGCTCAATGGGATTGAGATCCGGGCTCGTCGCTTACCATGGCAGAACACTGCCATTCCTGTCTTGCAGGAAATCGCGCACAGAACGAGCAGTATGGCTGGTGGCATTGTCATGCTGGAGGGTCATGTCCAAAGTTAAATCTAGAATCGGCTTCCTATTTCGCAACAAAGCCTCCTTCACTCATGCTGCCAAACATGCCCTCGTAAAACTGACTATCCTACCGATCCTTGACTTCGGCGATGTCATTTACAAAATAGCCTCCAACACTCTACTCAGCAAATTGGATGTAGTCTATCACAGTGCCATCCGTTTTGTCTCCAAAGCCCCATACACTACCCACCACTGTGACCTGTACGCTCTTGTTGGCTGGTCCTCACTACATGTTCGTCGTCAAACCCACTGGCTCCAGGCCATCTATAAATCACTGCTAGGCAAATCCCCGCCTTATCTTAGCTCATTGGTCACCATAGCAGCACCCACCCGTAGTCTGCGCTCCAGCAGGTATATCTCACTGGTCATTCCCAAAGCCAACACCTCCTTTGGCCGCCATTCCTTCCAGTTCTCTGCTGCCAATGACTGGAACGAATTGCAAAAATCTCTGAAGCTGGAGACTCTTATCTCCCTCAATAACTTTAAGCATCAGTTGTCAGAGCACCTTACCGATCACTGCACCTGTACACAGCCCATCTGAAATTAGCCCACCCAACTACCTCATCCCTATATTGTTATTTAATTTGCTCTTTTGCACCCCAGTATCTCTATTTGCACATAATCTCTTGCACATCTAGCATTCCAGTGTTAATACTATTGTAATTATTCTGCACTATAGCCTATTTATTGCCTTACCTCCATAACTTGCTACATTTGCACACACTGTATATATATTTTCTGTTGTATTTCTGACTTTATGTTTTTTTTTACCCCATATGTAACTCTGTGTTGTTTTTATTGCACTACTTTGCTTTATCTTGGCCAGGTCGCAGTTGTAAATGAGAACCTGTTCTCAACTGGCTTACCTGGTTAAATAAAGGTGAAATAAAATAAATAAATAAAAAATAAATGTCAGGATGAGCCTGCAGGAAGGGTACCACATGATGGAGGAGGATGTCTTCCCTGTAATGCACAGTGTTGAGATTTCCTGCTATGACAACAAGCTCAGTCTGATGATGCTGTGACACACCGCCCCAGACCATGATGGACCCTCCACCTCCAAATCGATCCCGCTCCAGAGTACAGGCCTTGGTGTAACGCTCATTCCTTCGACGATAATTGCGAATCCGACCATCACCCCTGGTGAGACAAAACCACGACTCGTCAGTGAAGAGCACTTTTTGCCAGTCCTGTCTGGTCCAGCGATGGTGGCTTTGTGCCCATAGGCGACGTTGTTGCCGGTGATGTCTGGCCTTACAACAGGCCTACAAGCCCTCAGTCCAGCCTCTCTCAGCCTATTGCGGACAGTCTGAGCACTGATGGAGGGATTGTGCGTTCCTGGTGTAACTCGGGCAGTTGTTTTTGCCATCCTGTACCTGTCCCGCAGGTGTGATGTTCGGATGTACCGATCCTGTGCAGGTGTTGTTACACGTGGTCTGCCACTGCGAGGACGATCAGCTGTCCGTCCTGTCTCCCTGTAGCGCTGTCTTAGGCGTCTCACATTACGGACATTGCAATTTATTGCCCTGGCCACATCTGCAGTCCTCATGCCTCACAGCATGCCTAAGGCATGTTCACGAAGATGATCAGGGACCCTGGGCATCTTTCTTTAGTTTTTTGTTCAGAGTCAGTAAAAAGGCCTCTTTAATGTCCTAAGTTTTCATAACTGTGACCTTAATTGCCTACCGTCTGTAAGCTGTTAGCGTTCCACAGGTGAATGTTCATTAACTGTTTATGGTTCATTGAACAAGCATGGGAAACAGTGTTTAAACCCTTTACAATATGACTGTAAGTCGCTTTGGATAAAAGCGTCTGCTAAATGGCATATTATTATTATATTATTACAATGAAGATCTGTGAAGTTATTTGGATTTTTACTAATTATCTTTGAAAGACAGGGTTGAGTTTATTTCTATGATGAAACATACCGATATGTAGCTATACCCAGGGGTGTCATTTGGGTTCTTGCATCGGAATGATATTAAATTCTGCAGTAACCGAGTATTCCAGCCACCCTCTTCCTATGAACCAGTTGCTATTAAATTAATGTTTTTGGACAGAAAACCTGCGACTAGGGTAGGATTCTATAATCTTCGGGAAAGAAGGGTTCCAAAAGGGTTCTTCGGCAGTCCCCTTAGGTTAAATCTTTTTGGTTCCAGGTAGAACCCTTTTGGGTTTCATGTAGAACCCTCGGTGGAAAGGGTTTTATATGGAACCAAAAGGGTTCTACCTGGAACCAAAACGGGTTCTTCAAAGGGTTCTCCTATGGGGACAGCAGAATAACCATTTGATGTTCTAGATAGAAAAAAAAGGTGCTAAGAGTGTACACTAACCTGGGCTGGCTCCTCTGTTCCAAGATTGTCAGGAACAATCGGAGGTGGAGGGGGTTGTGGAGTCAGTATCCTGGCGGAGCTTGTGGAAGGGTGGGTAGGCTCTGCACGTGGAGTTAGCTGGAGCTCGGTAGCATCATCGCTGCTGGGCTTGGCGGCGGCCTCGATGGTTTGATGCTGCTCATTGCTCTCCTTTTCCCTTTGGCTTTGTTTTGGTACTTTGGCAAAGCCAATTTATAATATCCATCATGGCAGTGGCAGATTAGCTGGTTAGTGCTAGCTAAATAGGCTAAGGCTAATAACACAAACGCTTTTCATAGCTAGCTTAGAAGCTAACTAAACTCTGTGGTGGTGGGGCGTGAGGCAGAGATGAGTGAAGCAGCTTCAACGGTAAACTTGACCCCGCCCTTATAAATCAAAATCAAATATTACAGGCGGAGGCGCATCACGTTATTCACAGCCTACCACAGATGAGAAGCGTTTTTCCCGCTTTTTATGGAAACCCAAAGGAGTCATACCTAACCACCCCTGTGGCTTTCCATGGCCCCCCTGCACACACCGCGGTGCGCTCTGTCCATTGTGCTGACACAACGCAGCAGAGATACAGATTTTGCACCAACCTGACAATTAATCATTTGAACTTTTCTGCTATTTTTATATAGGGACATAAAACTAAAACTGAGGGGGGCACAAGTTTCAACTGAAGGGGCTAAGTCCCCTTTTGCCCCCTCGTGGAGCTAGGCCCAAGTTCCCATGAAAGTCTACCCACTGTCACCAGGCTCATTGTTAAGATTGGGCAAGGAAGTTTCAGTGTAACTTGTACCAGATTGGCTTCACGTCACACATACTTCAGTGTGCAGGTGACCCGCCCTACGCATTCCTAGCCTGCCTGATGCGACTGAAGTGGTAGACATCTAGGGAGAGCTGTGACACACTGGTCTGGACAAGAGTCCTAAAGTTGTTTTGGATTAGAAAATCCAACAGTTGTATTGGAAGGGGGCGGTGCTTGGGGCCATGTGGGTGTTTGACTGAGAAAGACATAGACTTTCCAGACTCTGAGGTCAGGAAGACTTCGCAGACTAACGCAGTCCGCCCCCTCAAACACTGTTGGGAGCTAGCCCTAACATTAACTAACTAGTTTGCAAGTCAAGCGTGAAGCCGAGACATTATGTGGAAACAACCATCTAGCTACCTATTGGCCAGTCATGGCAGCATTTGAGAAGAAGCTGCTCATAGTGGGAGATGGAGCATGTGGGAAGACCAGTCTGCTCATTGTCTTCAGTGTAGACCGGTTCCCCGAGGTCTACGTGCCCACTGTCTTCGAGCAATATGTACTTGAGTGAATCTGCTATATAAACACTTCCCTTGTAACTGAAGTGCTCAGTCAGGTGCCATTTTGTGTCATACCTGCCAATTTAGTGCATACACTGTGACCTATAGTCTTTATGATTATTTAGAATGTTTGATCATACAGGCATAACATTTTTTGAAATAAACGTGTGTCATATAAAACCCTATGTGCATCTATTCATATGCACAAAATAGGACCAGACTGGAAAACTCTGTTAACACACGTACATTCTTTGTGTAATAATAACTTTGTTTATCTTAATCATGCCTCAACTCTGCCTGGTCACACCCGTGAAACTAGCCAACCACCAACACATAATCAAATACCTGTAGCGCAGGAGTGCACTGCTAGCATATCTGTGGTGTTCTTCTCTTCACCCAGTGGTTGCAAGGGAAGCATTATATAAATGTGACTTTTGAGGGCATTTGTTAAAGAAGACTTTACCGGAGGAAAGAAACATAGGTAGTGCACTAGATAAGGTGTCCCAGATTTGACCTTTGTTCTCTGTCGCCATTTCCTGCCTGTACATAAAGTCAACACTGCACAGCAGAGGTTTGTCGCCTGTAAAGTTGTACAAGTTTAGAGCATGTTGTAAACATGTTTGTTTTTATGTTAATCAAATACTTTGTATGTTACATGCTTTAAGTAGTTTGTAGGCTTCATTATCTCTTTCTGGAATGTGGAGGTTTTACCCTCCCCATTCAGGCCTAACTTTAACATCAAGGAAAGGTTTGATCATTGAGTATGAGGAAACATTTTACATTTACATTTTAGTCATTTAGCAGACGCTCTTATCCAGAGCGACTTACAGGAGCAATTAGGGTTAAGTGCCTTGCTCAAGGGCACATTTACGTCATTTAGCAGACGCTCTTATCCAGAGCGACTTACAAATTGGTGCATTCACCCTATAGCCAGTGGGATAACCACTTTCCAATTTTATTTTTATTTATTTTTTTATTTTTTTGGGGGGGGTAGAAGGATTACTTTATCCTATCCCAGGTATTCCTTAAAGAGGTGGCGTTTCAAATGTCTCCGGAAGGTGGTGAGTGACTCCGCTGTCCTGGCGTCGTGAGGGAGCTTGTTCCACCATTGGGGTGCCAGAGCAGCGAACAGTTTTGACTGGGCTGAGCGGGAACTATGCTTCCGCAGAGGAAGGGGAGCCAGCAGGCCAGAGGTGGATGAACGCAATGCCCTCGTTTGGGTGTAGGGACTGATCAGAGCCTGAAGGTACAGAGGTGCCGTTCCCCTCACTGCTCCATAGGCAAGCACCATGGTCTTGTAACGGATGCGAGCTTCAACTGCCTAAGGCATGTTCACGAAGATGATCAGGGACCCTGGGCATCTTTCTTTAGTTTTTTGTTCAGAGTCAGTAAAAAGGCCTCTTTAATGTCCTAAGTTTTCATAACTGTGACCTTAATTGCCTACCGTCTGTAAGCTGTTAGCGTTCCACAGGTGAATGTTCATTAACTGTTTATGGTTCATTGAACAAGCATGGGAAACAGTGTTTAAACCCTTTACAATATGACTGTAAGTCGCTTTGGATAAAAGCGTCTGCTAAATGGCATATTATTATTATATTATTACAATGAAGATCTGTGAAGTTATTTGGATTTTTACTAATTATCTTTGAAAGACAGGGTTGAGTTTATTTCTATGATGAAACATACCGATATGTAGCTATACCCAGGGGTGTCATTTGGGTTCTTGCATCGGAATGATATTAAATTCTGCAGTAACCGAGTATTCCAGCCACCCTCTTCCTATGAACCAGTTGCTATTAAATTAATGTTTTTGGACAGAAAACCTGCGACTAGGGTAGGATTCTATAATCTTCGGGAAAGAAGGGTTCCAAAAGGGTTCTTCGGCAGTCCCCTTAGGTTAAATCTTTTTGGTTCCAGGTAGAACCCTTTTGGGTTTCATGTAGAACCCTCGGTGGAAAGGGTTTTATATGGAACCAAAAGGGTTCTACCTGGAACCAAAACGGGTTCTTCAAAGGGTTCTCCTATGGGGACAGCAGAATAACCATTTGATGTTCTAGATAGAAAAAAAAGGTGCTAAGAGTGTACACTAACCTGGGCTGGCTCCTCTGTTCCAAGATTGTCAGGAACAATCGGAGGTGGAGGGGGTTGTGGAGTCAGTATCCTGGCGGAGCTTGTGGAAGGGTGGGTAGGCTCTGCACGTGGAGTTAGCTGGAGCTCGGTAGCATCATCGCTGCTGGGCTTGGCGGCGGCCTCGATGGTTTGATGCTGCTCATTGCTCTCCTTTTCCCTTTGGCTTTGTTTTGGTACTTTGGCAAAGCCAATTTATAATATCCATCATGGCAGTGGCAGATTAGCTGGTTAGTGCTAGCTAAATAGGCTAAGGCTAATAACACAAACGCTTTTCATAGCTAGCTTAGAAGCTAACTAAACTCTGTGGTGGTGGGGCGTGAGGCAGAGATGAGTGAAGCAGCTTCAACGGTAAACTTGACCCCGCCCTTATAAATCAAAATCAAATATTACAGGCGGAGGCGCATCACGTTATTCACAGCCTACCACAGATGAGAAGCGTTTTTCCCGCTTTTTATGGAAACCCAAAGGAGTCATACCTAACCACCCCTGTGGCTTTCCATGGCCCCCCTGCACACACCGCGGTGCGCTCTGTCCATTGTGCTGACACAACGCAGCAGAGATACAGATTTTGCACCAACCTGACAATTAATCATTTGAACTTTTCTGCTATTTTTATATAGGGACATAAAACTAAAACTGAGGGGGGCACAAGTTTCAACTGAAGGGGCTAAGTCCCCTTTTGCCCCCTCGTGGAGCTAGGCCCAAGTTCCCATGAAAGTCTACCCACTGTCACCAGGCTCATTGTTAAGATTGGGCAAGGAAGTTTCAGTGTAACTTGTACCAGATTGGCTTCACGTCACACATACTTCAGTGTGCAGGTGACCCGCCCTACGCATTCCTAGCCTGCCTGATGCGACTGAAGTGGTAGACATCTAGGGAGAGCTGTGACACACTGGTCTGGACAAGAGTCCTAAAGTTGTTTTGGATTAGAAAATCCAACAGTTGTATTGGAAGGGGGCGGTGCTTGGGGCCATGTGGGTGTTTGACTGAGAAAGAAATAGACTTTCCAGACTCTGAGGTCAGGAAGACTTCGCAGACTAACGCAGTCCGCCCCCTCAAACACTGTTGGGAGCTAGCCCTAACATTAACTAACTAGTTTGCAAGTCAAGCGTGAAGCCGAGACATTATGTGGAAACAACCATCTAGCTACCTATTGGCCAGTCATGGCAGCATTTGAGAAGAAGCTGCTCATAGTGGGAGATGGAGCATGTGGGAAGACCAGTCTGCTCATTGTCTTCAGTGTAGACCGGTTCCCCGAGGTCTACGTGCCCACTGTCTTCGAGCAATATGTACTTGAGTGAATCTGCTATATAAACACTTCCCTTGTAACTGAAGTGCTCAGTCAGGTGCCATTTTGTGTCATACCTGCCAATTTAGTGCATACACTGTGACCTATATGTCACGATCGTCTAGGAGTGAAGGAGACCAAAGCGCAGCGCGTTGAACGAACATGACTTTAATTGAAAAAACACCGAAATACAAAACAAAAGACGACTCGTGAAGTCCACAGTACAACGACTGAAACACGGAACAAAAACCCACAAACAAAGGTGAAACCACACAGTTTAAATATGGCTCCCAATCAGAGATAACGAGCCGACAGCTGACACTCGTTACCTCCGATTGGGAGTCATATGCCTAATCAACAACAAAACCAAACATAGAAAATGAACAACTAGAATACCCAACATAGAAATACACCCAAACAATGAAAATGAACAACCCTGGCTCAATAATCAAAGTCCATGGAGCCAGAGTGTCACAGTACCCCCCCCTAAAGGTGCGAACTCCGGGCGCACCAGCATACCGTCTAGGGGAGGGTCTGGGTGGGCGTCTGTCCATGGTGGCGGCTCTGGCCCAGGTCGTGGTCCCCACCCCACCTTAGTCACTATCCGCTTCCGTAGACCCCTCCACATGACCACCCCCCAACTAAATCCCACTGGATTAAGGGGCGGCACCGGACTAAGGGGCAGCACCGGACTAAGGGACAGCACCGGACTAAGGGACAGTACCTGACTAAGGGGCAGCACCGGCCTGAGGGGCAGCACCGGACTGAATGGCGGATCCTGGCTGGCTGGCTCTGGCGGATCCTGGCTGGACGGCTCTGGCGGATCCTGGCTGGCGGAAGGCTCTGGCTGATCCTGGCTGGCGGAAGGCTCTGGCTGATCCTGTCTGGCGGAAGGCTCTGGCTGATCCTGTCTGGCGGAAGGCTCTGGCTGATCCTGTCTGGCGGAAGGCTCTGGCTGATCCTGTCTGGCGGAAGGCTCTGGCTGATCCTGTCTGGCGGAAGGCTCTGGCTGCTCCTGTCTGGCGGAGAGCTCTAGCGGCTCCGGTCTGGCGGACGGCTCTGAAGGCTCATGGCAGACGGGCGGCTTTGCAGGCTCAGTACAGACGGGCAGTTCCTGCGGCGCTTGGCAGACGGACAGTTCAGACGGCGTTGGGCAGACGGGCAGTTCAGGCGCCGTTGGGCAGACGGGCAGTTCAGATGGCGTTGGGCAGACGGACAGTTCAGGCCCCGTTGGGCAGACGGCAGACTCTGGCCGTCTGAGGCGCATCGTAGGCCTGGTGCGTTGTGCCGGAACTGGAGGTACCGGGCTGAGGACACGCATCTCAGGACTAGTGCGGGGAGAAGCAACAGGGTATGCTGGACCCTGGGGACGCACATAACGCCTAGTGCGGAGAGCCGGAACAGGGCATGCTGGACCCTGGGGACTCACATAACGCCTAGTGCGGAGAGCCGGAACAGGGCATGCTGGACCCTGGGGACTCACATAACGCCTAGTGCGGAGAGCCGGAACAGGGCATGCTGGACCCTGGGGACTCACATAACGCCTAGTGCGGAGAGCCGGAACAGGGCATGCTGGATCCTGGGGACTCACATAACGCCTAGTGCGGGGAGAAGGAACAGGGCATGCTGGACCCTGGGAACGCACATAAGGGCTAGTGCGGAGAGCCGGAACAGGGCATGCTGGACCCTGGGGACTCACATAAAGCCTAGTGCGGAGAGCAGCAACAGGACGCACAGGACTCGGGAGACACACAGGAGGCTTGGGGCGTAGTGTAGGCACTGGTGGGAAATGGCTGGCGACGCGCACCGTATCCCTGGTGCGAGTGGCCGGAACAGGCCGGGCCGGGCTGGCGAAGCGCACCGTATCCCTGGTGCGAGTGGCCGGAACAGGCCGGGCTGGGCTGGCGAAGCGCACCGTATCCCTGGTGCGAGTGGCCGGAACAGGCCGGGCCGGGCTGGCGAAGCGCACCGTATCCCTGGTGCGAGTGGCCGGAACAGGCCGGGCTGTGCTGGCGAAGCGCACCGTATCCCTGGTGCGAGTGGCCGGAACAGGCCGGGCCGGTCTGGCGAAGCGCACCGTATCCTTGGTGCGAGGGGTCGTAACAGGCCGGACCGTACTGGAGGCACACACCACTGGCTCTACCCCGGGAACTGGAACGGGCCGGACCGGACTGGATACACACCTCAGTCTCTCACGCCGTGCCTCTACATCTCCTTTCCCTACTTTGGCCAGTGACCCCCGTAACCTGGTTGCCTCTTGAATACGCCCCTTCTCTGCCTCCGTTAGCCCCGTCGTCCAAGCCCTGTGCCCCCCCCCAAAAACTTTTTGGGGTTGCCTCTCGTCCTTCCAACGATGATGGCCCTGCTGACGCCGTTGCTCCTCTCGCCGTCGCCTCTCCACCGTCTCGCTCCATGGACGGCGATCCATCCCATCCAGGATCTCCTCCCAAGTCCAGGACCCCTTTCCTCCTGGACGCGCTGCTTGGTCCTTTTGTGGTGGGTTATTCTGTCACGATCGTCTAGGAGTGAAGGAGACCAAAGCGCAGCGCGTTGAACGAACATGACTTTAATTGAAAAAACACCGAAATACAAAACAAAAGACGACTCGTGAAGTCCACAGTACAACGACTGAAACACGGAACAAAAACCCACAAACAAAGGTGAAACCACACAGTTTAAATATGGCTCCCAATCAGAGATAACGAGCCGACAGCTGACACTCGTTACCTCCGATTGGGAGTCATATGCCTAATCAACAACAAAACCAAACATAGAAAATGAACAACTAGAATACCCAACATAGAAATACACCCAAACAATGAAAATGAACAACCCTGGCTCAATAATCAAAGTCCATGGAGCCAGAGTGTCACACTATAGTCTTTATGATTATTTAGAATGTTTGATCATACAGGCATAACATTTTTTGAAATAAACGTGTGTCATATAAAACCCTATGTGCATCTATTCATATGCACAAAATAGGACCAGACTGGAAAACTCTGTTAACACACGTACATTCTTTGTGTAATAATAACTTTGTTTATCTTAATCATGCCTCAACTCTGCCTGGTCACACCCGTGAAACTAGCCAACCACCAACACATAATCAAATACCTGTAGCGCAGGAGTGCACTGCTAGCATATCTGTGGTGTTCTTCTCTTCACCCAGTGGTTGCAAGGGAAGCATTATATAAATGTGACTTTTGAGGGCATTTGTTAAAGAAGACTTTACCGGAGGAAAGAAACATAGGTAGTGCACTAGATAAGGTGTCCCAGATTTGACCTTTGTTCTCTGTCGCCATTTCCTGCCTGTACATAAAGTCAACACTGCACAGCAGAGGTTTGTCGCCTGTAAAGTTGTACAAGTTTAGAGCATGTTGTAAACATGTTTGTTTTTATGTTAATCAAATACTTTGTATGTTACATGCTTTAAGTAGTTTGTAGGCTTCATTATCTCTTTCTGGAATGTGGAGGTTTTACCCTCCCCATTCAGGCCTAACTTTAACATCAAGGAAAGGTTTGATCATTGAGTATGAGGAAACATTTTACATTTACATTTTAGTCATTTAGCAGACGCTCTTATCCAGAGCGACTTACAGGAGCAATTAGGGTTAAGTGCCTTGCTCAAGGGCACATTTACGTCATTTAGCAGACGCTCTTATCCAGAGCGACTTACAAATTGGTGCATTCACCCTATAGCCAGTGGGATAACCACTTTCCAATTTTATTTTTATTTTTATTTTTATTTTTTTGGGGGGGGTAGAAGGATTACTTTATCCTATCCCAGGTATTCCTTAAAGAGGTGGCGTTTCAAATGTCTCCGGAAGGTGGTGAGTGACTCCGCTGTCCTGGCGTCGTGAGGGAGCTTGTTCCACCATTGGGGTGCCAGAGCAGCGAACAGTTTTGACTGGGCTGAGCGGGAACTATGCTTCCGCAGAGGAAGGGGAGCCAGCAGGCCAGAGGTGGATGAACGCAATGCCCTCGTTTGGGTGTAGGGACTGATCAGAGCCTGAAGGTACAGAGGTGCCGTTCCCCTCACTGCTCCATAGGCGGGCTGCGGCATTCTGGATGAGTTGTAGGGGTTTAATGGCACAGGCAGGGAGCCCAGCCAACAGCGAGTTGCAGTAATCCAGACGGGAGATGACAAGTGCCTGGATTAGGACCTGTGCCGCTTCCTGTGTAAGGCAGGGTCGTACTCTCCGAATGTTGTAGAGCATGAACCTGCAGGATCGGGTCACCGCCTTGATGTTAGCGGAGAACGACAGGGTGTTGTCCAGGGTCACGCCAAGGCTCTTCGCACTCTGGGAGGAGGACACAACGGAGTTGTCAACCGTGATGGCGAGATCATGGAACGGGCAGTCCTTCCCCGGGAGGAAGAGCAGCTCCGTCTTGCCAGGGTTCAGCTTGAGGTGGTGATCCGTCATCCATACTGATATGTCTGCCAGACATGCAGAGATGCGATTCGCCACCTGGTTATCAGAAGGGGGAAAGGAGAAGATTAGTTGTGTATCGTCAGCGTAGCAATGATAGGAGAGGCCATGTGAGGATATGACAGAGCCAAGTGACTTGGTGTATAGGGAGAAAAGGAGAGGGCCTAGAACTGAGCCCTGGGGGACACCAGTGGTGAGAGCACGTGGTGCGGTGACAGCTTCTCGCCACGCCACTTGGTAGGAGCGACCGGTCAGGTAGGACGCAATCCAGGAGTGAGCCGCGCCGGAGATGCCCAGCTCGGAGAGGGTGGAGAGGAGGATCTGATGGTTCACAGTATCAAAGGCAGCAGACAGGTCTAGAAGGACAAGAGCAGAGGAGTTATGATGTTGCAGGAAAAGAAAACGTCTCAGACTATAACCACAACAGGCTAAAAGCTACATTTGTTTTAATCAGTTCACTATCTTTAATTCACTAAAGCTTCTCTCACAAAAAAAGCTTTTTTCTCAACAACAAGATTTAGGCGATTTGCAAGTTTATGTAACTTCTACAAGAGGGCTGACTTTAACTGCAGTTTTCAAT